GAATTTTTGTTCTTTGAGTAGAAATTTCATTGTTCTTCCGAACGACATCATCAGCACAAACTTTAGATAGAAGTGAAGTGTTCGAATTTCTCCACATATGGTTCCCAGTTTGTTATGTAGATTTTCATATTGATTAGTTCTTATTGACTTTAAACCTGTCAACAAGAACTAAACCATCCAACTCAGAGAATTAAACTCCATCAAAAATATGATACAATCTTAGCATTAAACCATCTCATTTTCGACAATATTTTGAATATTTATGAGTGTTATTTGTCTAAAGGTATATAAAATTAAACAAACTGAATACATGACAAAATTATAAATTCATGAAAGTTGATTCTTAAATGATTGATTATAAATACGGAAATGATCAAACATTTTATTTGCTTATAATAGTGAAATTTTCTTTCTTCAGTATCTCGGAACTTTACATTGATTCATTTCTATCACCTCAAATAAGTAGTATTTCTTAGAATAAACAAAAAATCTAAAATAATTTATCTAAACTTTAATATTTTTTGTTGAAATTCGAATAAATTTATAAATTCGAACCCAGGATCGATCAGTCTCGCACGCGAGCGCTTAACCATTAGACCACTGAGCCGGCATCCAACGGTGTTAATATCTAACTTCAACTAATCCACAAAATTGAGCGACTTATCTACTATTGTCTTCAGTGAGTAACTATCTCACAACAGACCTGGTTGAACTCCATTGGCCACTGCTTCTCACTAGAACTCCAGGAAATACCTCTTGAAGCCAGTCACTACTAGTGAGCATATGTTGACTAATATCAGAAGGGGTTTTAATAGTTGAGGTCATGAGTCAATCGAAGCTAGACCCAGTATAATATAATCATTATTATAGCCATTAAATAATGAAATGACTATGCTAGGTTGAATAGTATCCATTTGCAATAATGCTATTAAAAAATTTATTTCATCACTAATTGTTTTTTGTTTAATTCCAAATTATTCTTCTTGGTCATTGAAAAGTTCTCACCTTAAATTTTAATAATAAATTATGCTCTACGTATCATTCATGCCTAAATATTTATAAATCGACTTATAGAACTAATCAATTAATTCTTCTTTCTCAGTGTATAGAAAGAATCCCACTCAAAGGACATTGAGTCAACTCTAGACTGCCTCGAATATTTGGTATAGTTAGTTTAGGAATCTGAACAATAAGTAGATACTTAGACACAAATTTCAAAATAAATAAGGGTCAGATGTGAACATTTTTTCTAACCTTGATGTACTTTTATAAATAACTAATGTATATAAAGTATATACTGATTGTACTTAAAGGTAAGAAGAGAATAATGTAAAGGTTACAGACGTTCAACTGTAACTTCATTGTCAAAGAATTTCTGTTTTAGCTGGGTTCCCGTCAGTAGAAAAAGAAACTCAATAATACTCACCACTAGAATACGAAGAATCTGTAGTCCCGATGTCATAGATAAAGAATTTCTGTTTTGTTTAAGTTTATTTCACTGTTACTTAATTGTTACTGTAATAATATTCACAATAAGCAACAGATCATAGCATGATTCGTAACGAATGAAACTAATTAATGTTGTGAATAAACTCTATTCACATTTTCCATTTGAGTATAATCTTTCAGATGTTATGAATCAATAATTAAAGAATTTTACGTTGATTATTCCAAATCAATCGCAATCGCAAAGATACATTCCCAAATTTACTTTAAATCATTTAAAAAAAATACTTTTTTAATTAATTAACTATTTCCTCTTAATTTTTACGAACTATGTGATTTGTTTCTCTCTTGTGTGATATATGATTAAGTACTGTTCAATAGTTAGATGTAGTCCACAGGAAACTGTGTTATGATTGGTTCTAATTGGTCACTCGTCAACCAGAGAAGTATTTACAGTGTTGAGTTACTTAGACCATTGATTACATTTAAGATTGATAGTATTCGACCAACACTAGAGGACAAGTCAAACATAATGTTGATCGCTACCCTGCAACCAATTAATTGTGCAATAAAATACTCGTAGATTATTTCATCTCCATTTATTATCAAAACGTGTAGTTTTTGAGTGGGCAACATCATATTACTAAATTGTTCACTTACTGAGACAGGGTACTTTTTGAACAATCTGATTTAATAGTTTATTTGTTTTAAAAACAAATTAAATGCTAGAAAGTAATTTTTTCCTTTCCTTTGTCATACAAAAGAGATCAAAAGTTCACTGAAATATTTAGTGGACAAAAATCTAATTCTTTATTGTATGTGATCATATTGCCATCTATCATGAATCCAGTGCCTAACTTTTTTTGAGAATGAATGATATAGTTTCGTAAGATACATTGTTCTATGAATCTGTGTTATTGAATTTTGCGATCACTAACTACCGGAATGCGTGCAATACTTTGTACTATAACTTATTCAACTCACGAATTGAAGTGATGTCTAATATTTGTGTTATTTAATACGGTTTAACTTCTGTCTTACTTCTAATACTTGTAACTCGGATACACTGCAAATTTGACAACGGATAATAAAAATACGAAAATCCGGTTTATATGACGATTTTATTGACCTTTCAAAACACGTAATCCGTAAACGAAATTACACTTAGATAATTTTTACACACACATGATACTTATTCAATCTTGTCACAGACATGGGACATAGAGTTATTGTAAATACACATGCTGAACGTAGTTCACACTGTATCAATACAAAGAATATTGACCTAAAAAAAAGCCAGATTAAACTAAATTCACGGCAAAGTGTAGTAAATAGATGAACCTATCAGATTCCAATGTGAAATTCATTCATCCATATGGCTTTAAAAGCGTTCTTCAGTTATAACTAGTGTCGCTTCGTGACGAAACTCGTAATTATTCGTAATTAAAGGTTCATTATTCATGTTAGAATTTTATTATAAATTATCATAGTCACATACTTTTCTGGTTGGCTAAAAAATAGTTCAAGGTCTCCCCTATAATTCCTTTAAATTCAAACACAAAAATTATTGACTGGAGATAAATATCACATTTTTCATCCTATTTCATCAAAACGATTAGTCATTTATGGATTTCCATAGTTTAGTGAAAAGACAAAGTTTGTCTGACTGCAGTGATGTGTTTACGACATAAGACTGGGAAACATGTACCTATCTAGGGATTTATGCATAAAAACGGATTGAAGGTCAAGTAAATACAAAAGATAGAATAAATATTCATGGAAAGAAGTTATCACACCACCATAGGCTTTAAAGTATATTAGAGATTATCAGGGCGGATTCTCAATTAGGGTCGATTGTTTCTGTCCGCGTAAAGGAGGATTGCCTTTGGCCATCTCCATACAAAACTTGAAAGCTGTTTTAAACTCAATACTGTCTCATTGTTATCGAGGATCATAGGTTACTACTTTATGAATTTATCGGAGCACTCGACACTAACTGATTATAAAGACATTTAGGCAGATGTCCTGTCAACTTTGATTATAACGTTTGATTATTTGTGTCCACATGGATATGTAAACTAGTAAATGTAGTGGAATGTAATATAATCATTTATTTGATGTTGAAGCTTATGTGGAATTATGGGCTTAGTCTTATCATTTATAATCATAGTATGTTTTCACGATAATTGTTTTTTGTTCTCTGAACCAAATTTCTGATGTCTGATTCTCCTTTATCTGGTTAAGTGATACAAACGCTTATCTTGGAAACAGAATTAAGAGGAATAATTTATTTTTGTATCGGCTGTTTGAGTCCTCCCATTGATGTTTAGGACTGCAACTGATCAGTCTCTTATTCGTATATGTGCATCCTGTGCGGGTTGCCTCGATATTGCCCTAAGTCACAAGCATTATGAGCGGAGATTCAAATAACCAATACGAAAATGAAATAAACTTCACCCCATTAACCAAGCTAGTGCTTATCTGGACTCAGTAGCTAAAGGGATAATGCAATGACGTTTAAAGCTAACGGTACCAGGTCCGAGTCCCGAAGTGAACGTCAACTCTGAGATGTAGGTACATCCAGCTGACGAGCCCCAAAGTAGGGTGAAACGCGCGTTCTGGATTCCACTGCTATCCACCATCCATCTCTGCAGAATAAGGAAAAGTTTTCAAATGTTACCTGACTGATAAATTAATTTATAAAGTTTGACGGACATCCGTTTAATATCCTTGATTAGGTTATTAATATCATATTGTCTTCATCGAATACTGTTGAGTAGGCAATTATGAAAATAAGAATTCAATCCATTCATCGTCATTTGTAAATAAATGGAGCCTATTTCACATTGACCGATAACTATTTAGTCATTAATGATATTTTACCAGTGCTTAGTGGTGACCAGATTCTATCGATTATATATCGTTGTCGCCACTCATCTAAGTCGATAATGACGTTCTATCAGTACTTAAGATTCTACAAACATTACGTTATTGGCTAATCAGTTCATGTAAATATCTCAGTCATATTCCAGCTCAAACGCTTCCCGAATAGCTTGGTGTTTCACTGTAAAGCTTGGTGATGTGGGTTTCAATCCTAAAAGAAATATCATTCCCCTTCAAGAATGCACTTGCACCTTGCTGATAAGTATCAACTAGCCCAAAAGCTAGGTCGATTATGTATTCTTGCTGATCACTTCCAACTATCGTACATTGGAACCTAATTACTCTATACTTTATGAAGCTGTTCACTTCCAAACACAGAAAAAATTTCATGTTTTAAATACTAAATAAAATGTGACATTCAAAAATCATCATCCATTCCACAAGTTTTCAGTTTGAAATTCTTTAAAGTATAATTGTTTAATTTCACGTTCGATTTGTATCTACTTCAATCATTTAGCCCATGATTTATTAGTTGATAAATAACACTGAATAAAGACTATACAGTTGAATATTTCATCACCTGATGTCAGTTTATGATGAAAATCATCATCAAAAGTAGAATCACCAACACATATTTCAATGATTTTATTATTGTTTTCGTTTTAACTCAGGTTGTGTTGGAATTCACCAAACTTTAACATTCGGCATAGCTGCATTGCTACCCATGAAGTATTCGAATGCAGTGATAGTAGGATCCGTAAGTTTTTATTTATTTTTTGATTCTTTTTCACCATATGTTTTTGACCATTTGTATGAGGATATTCAAAGGAGTGGTTATTTATTATCTAGCACTTTTAAACCATTACTTAACAACTATAAAACACTTTTTTTTACATAAATATGACTTATTGGAATCTGTACTGATTTTCATCAAGCTGAAAATTCATGTATTGACCACATATGTGCGTTCGACCAAGTTTCCGTACCACGTTATCACAACAATATAAAGATAAAACGAAAAAGTATATATAATGGAATACTGGGATTCAAGATCTAGAGTAAGATAGAAAAATGATAGCCTCTGTGCCAATTCAACTAACTCTGAGTCATGGCTTCTAAAACCTTCAACCATCGGTTGAGGTTGGTAATGCATTCTAATGCAGAGACCAAAACAACAACTCAACTGTTTTCCAAGTATTCCCTGATTTTTACTGGTTCTCCAGTTAAAACTTGTTTGTACTAAAAATTAATTTTTCATATGTAAATAACTTTTACTGTGGTTATGTAAACTTTTTAATGATTCCATCTTTTTCACTTTGTTGTAAAATACTTGGTTATAAAATCATCCATTGTGAAGATAATGTAAAGGAAAACATTCTATTAAAACAAATTTATTCAAATACTTTCGGAATATTTAACAGCGTGTGTCGTTGAAAAATGTAAACGAATGTCATAGTTAGAAATTATCGAAGTTTCATTGTATTTTATATTCTTCATTGACTAAAGAATGATATTCTTAAACTAGATAATGGCTAGCGTATTTATTTTCATTAAAACGTTTCACACCAGACTACTGAATGAAATAATGAGGTTAATTAATTTTTAATCATTAATAAAGGTTTTACATATGTAATTACATTTAAAGTTTAATTAAATAGGTAAATAATATAAAATACATGAGAGTAATTGAAGATGTTAAATAAACGATTGAACTGATTTGCCAAATAGATAATTAACTACAATTTGAATAATAGGTTAATATTATCAGTAACAACTGTGGCTAGATGTTATAAATAGTTCAAGATGTGATTATTTTTAATTGTGGTTTCGGATGCATCATGTCAGCGAGTTTTTAACATCCTTGTTATTATAGATAAAGAAGATCTAGAAGTTATGTTCAATAATATATGTAGAGTAACTTGAACTAGTTCCTGAAAGTGTGATGATTCACTTAATTGGCACATTAAAGACAAAACATTAATTTCCTTATCTCCTAAATGTGGAATATCTCAATTATGAGATATTGGTCTATCAATTAAGAGACGAGTATACTGTGAAATGTGACCATTAATGGTAGAAGATACTCGTAAGCTACTAGTATTTGACCACAGATGTCTTAGAAATATTGCCCGCATTTGCTTGGATCACTGGGTAAGTAATAGTGAGGTTAGACACAGAGTATTAGGGAATGTGATTGTAAATCAGTAGATAAGTTGTGAACCTTCATCGACTGAGATGGTTGGGACACGTGTCACGTATGCCTGAACACCTTTTACCACGACGCGCAATGCTGACTAGTGTTGGAGACGGTTGGAAGAAAGTTAGGGGCGGTCAAACCAAAACATGGCATCAGTCCTTGAAGTCACTTCTTGTTTGAGCCATGTTGGTAGATGCAGACTACCTGGTTGGGGTCCACGTGACTATCATAACCGATGGTTGGAGACTCGTGGTGATATGACTCAGAATCGATCACACTAGAGTAGGTGTATACACTCTCTGTCTTCCCTTAAACTGCGAGATTAAAACTGCTTTATATCTTTCTTTCTACTAACTAATTCTTTCTTCCTGTACTATATCCTTATACAGAATCTTTCTTTTATGCGTTACTACCATTGAAGTGTATACTTCTATGAATTTGGTGTTCACCGTGTTGTGCTAATGTGGTATAGCAACTTGAACCGACGTATATATGTGCCTGGTCCTACGTTGTAGCTGACTGATATGATTTGATTGCCCCATTCTTAATTCGCACACATTTATAACTCAATTAGATGATTTAGGTGGAATTTTATTCTCTAATCTGCATGGTTCTTGCCAATGATGTTGTTCAGAATAATAATTAAAACTCCATCGTCAAACCATTCAGCTCAAAGAACAAAATCCCACCTACATATTGAACTATTTAAATCATTTTATCAATGATAAGTCGTTATTTGATATGAATGTGGTAATTTGTTGATTTCTCTAGATTTTATCAAACCTTATCTGTAACTACCACCTATCAGACTATCCTACTTGATAAAAAAATGTTTACAGGGTTAAAGTTGTTTACATCTCTTTTTAACATACGAAGTGACTTTTATAAAATCTAAAATCCCTGATTATTTATCTTATATTAATGTGTTTCTATATTGTTTCACCCTAATTTTTCTATTCTTCTTCTCATCGTCTCGGAAATACAGAATGCATGTGGTGCAATAATTTCATTAGTGAATATTATTACGAAATCACTAACTTTAAGTAAGTTGGTTATTAATTACATTAAAAAATAGTGAAATGTTTTTTGAAAATTTAAATTTCTTTATTTACTGTAGCTTTTTTGTCAAATCACTCTAGTCAGTAAAAATTTAACTATTGAATTCTAATAATGGGTTCAGTATGAATTGTAATTTAAACAAATGTGAATGTAAAGTTTTTGTAGAATAGATGGAATATGCCTAACAATGAAATAGAAAATGCATATTTCATTCTATTCGGGACTCGTTAGCTAGAAACACTTGTATTCTAGTTTTGATATTCACATTGAGACTTGTGTCAAGTATCATTCTCATCAAACACCAACACATTATTCACTTAACTAGTGAGTCTGGATAGCCAATGGATTGTGAGACGATTTAGATATTTATAAAGGTTGGGATTATCCTATTAATGATATTGATCACTGAATTTCGATCAGATTTTATAAGCACATCTTCAAACTGTACGGATTAACTCGACACAATCAGTGTTACAAGTATAAATATAAGCTTTATGTTTGTGGCTGTTTCAACAATATTCACAAAATAACTTTCTGTTCTACTGACTAGCTTCGATATCTATTTTTTCTTCAAATTTGTAATGGGACATTGTGACTAGTTAAATCACCCATCTCAAGACTGAAGTTGTAACTCATCGATAACCATGACTGAGATTAATCCCTTATCATCAATTGACCAGTTTTAAATGTGACCCATAGAGTTAAAACTCTTCATCAGTTGTATTGTGGTCACTGACATACTTGAAATTTGAGTTTGATTTTAACTGAGTCTATAAATACATACCTCTGACGAGCTCCGAACCAGGACGAAATATCTTACCAGTATTCCTTAGTTTCCAGTATTTTTCCCATACTAAATCAGTTTATGGAAGAAAATCAAATGAAAAATTTACTTTAAGTTTATTTGAAATTTCAAACAACAGCTCAGTTACGAGTTTATAATGATCCATTAATTTTTTCATCTTCAATAACCGTCGTAATTCCCCTGTTTTATCTGTTATATTTGACATTTTATTCTTATTAAGAACAATTGACTTAATACATAATTCTATTCAATTAGTTCACTTTATACCTCAACAACTGTATATATGTATATTTTAATAAATAATTTAAAAAAAACACTTGTATGTGTGTTGCCATGTCATAAATAATTATGATTGGAGACTTATGAAATATAGGAATTATTTAATAATTGCCATGTGAATAGACTATTCGTCATTGTATTTAGTTGAAAAGTTAAAATGAAAGTCATGAAATATGGTCACTATGGAAAATTTCGAATGAATGAAAATGTATGTATATATGCTTTAAAGATGAGCCAGCTCCTTAGAATTGAGAATGTGACTTTTAGTCTTTTACACGAAATTCATATATCATCTTTTTTTGAAAAAAAATCACAAATACCTTTGTAACTGCTCTAAACATTTAAAATAATGACGAAAAATTATTTTATGCAGTTATAGAGTAAAGGTGATAGTGTTGAACGTATCAAATAACTAATTCACTCATTCTAGATTGCATATAACAGACAAATTTACGTTATCTTTCATTCTTAGACCTAAACTCTTAATTGAGAAACAGGTCTAAATTAAGTGGCACTACATTTTAATAACTGAATGGTTAAATAGAGCCTTTTTATATTTTTAAGCGAAATTCATTCATCCATATGGCAATAGATCATTTTTTTGCCTTATAATTTTTATCAATTCTTGACGAAACCCCTAACTCTAAACCTTTAATCCTAACCTTAAATACTTAACTCAAACTAGCAACTACATGGAGACTCCTAAGTACCTTTTTAGGTCATTTTAAGGGTTCAAGAATATGGAACAATTACATTATTGACATATCCAATAGGACAATTTTATATGTCGTTTTTTTTTCGAGTTACTTGTAAAAGACATCAATATAGTTATCACTTGTATAAAAGCTGTTTACGCTTTACAATGGTATTTACTTCTTTTTCATGAACTATCCATTTTTGAAAGCTTTTATACTGATGAACCAGAAACTAACAAGAAATTTCGTGTTTTAAGCTGATCCTTTTACTTTACTTTCGACAAAAACCCTTTGTTTTAATAATAATGTATGCTAATTCTTGTCTCGTTCAAAATTTTAATTGTCTATTTCCTCTGTATGGTAACCAATTACAGTTAATATAAATTTGACGCCAGATTTAAATATATCAGCTTTTAGGTTACTTCACGCTTTAAATTATTTCATAAATAGTGAACTTGAAGCTATTTACAGTCGATTATTCTTGATTTTTTTGTTCCCAATATTTAACTGAAATCAATTTTGTTTGTGGCGGTTTGAAAGAGTAGTTAAAAAGCTCTTGTGCTACATTGTGTATAATTTCCCTCTCATCAGAAAAGGGAACTGATAATTCCAGCGGATACGAACCAGGGTCACTCACATAGCAACATAATTAATAGAAATCTTTCAGCACTAAAGTCTTCGAAAGATGACGCTAGTTATACTAATAAGTGACTTAATCTATCATTAAAAGCTACATGCAATAAAACAAACTAGTTGAATTCTACTAAATAAGAGAACTGGGTCTTGTGATGTGTAAATCTGTTAACTGTTCTTTGAATACCGTAACTAGATCACTCAGCTCTACAGGAAAAAGAGAAAACAATCTTATTATCAAACAAGAAGATTCTCTATACAGTAATATGATGCTTCATGGACAGAATATCAAATGAGACAATAAATAAACGAGCTAGAAGCGTATAATTAAATATTGAAAATGATAAGACACCTCTACAATTTTCACTATATTTTTTAAATACAATGTTGTTGAGGAGATAACTATTGATAATTACAATTTTATCTTGAAGAAATAATTAAGTATGGAACTTCCGATTTAATGGAACTCGAAATTCAAGTCATCAACAGCTTAATTGTTTGTCCCTACAAACAGTTTTCAGTACACCTGAAACTTAAGTATGCAACTCACTTATTGAAGTTGAACACTATAATCAACAAGTCGCATTGACAATCCTTCAATCAAAATATGAGTAAAATTTACAGTGTGATTAGACATAATGAAGCTAGTTGCAGTCGTTTGGTAATTTTAGCTTGTATACTTGATAAACAAAATAAGCTATCTAAAACTCTTTATCATGAAATTATATATATATATATATATATATATATATATATATATATATATATATCGCCTACCGCGAAGTGCGTTGCTAGCTAATGTAGGAATAGATTGAAATAAAGCTATGGGTGGTCACACTAAAACGTGGCATTAGTCAACGAAGTCATTGACAGTTGAGTTGAGCCGTGTTATCAAATGCATACCACCTAGCTGTAGTACGCGTGGGTGACATGACTCAGAATCGATCGCAATGACAAATGCATTCATTCTTTGTCTTCCCTGGAATCTTGAGTTTAAAATTTATCCGACACTTTTTCTTTGGTGAATTCATTCTTCTCGAATTGTATCTTTTATGGATAATCTTTGCTATCACCACTGGTACTGTTACTATATCTACTACTCAGGCATCTGTCTTTAGAATCCTATCTCACTGTTATCATTTGGTGTGGTAACTTGAACTAATGCACAATTTTGCTTGGTTGAACGCTACTTAATGGCTAACTTACTGACCCTCACTCTCGCCTAAACATTTCAGTTTTATCAAGAAATGGTCAAGTGAATTTATCTATGAAGTTACTAGCGTATACGATCGTTTTCGGAATTTTACAACAGTTGATCCCTACAAATTCTCTCGTTTTATAACATTATTTATGATTTTTCTTCTTTCTGGACTCCATTCTTTAGTTAAAACATTTTATCCCATACACATCTCTCGCATACAGCTAGTCGGAACCGATTTTCTGCCTAACCATAAAATTGTTTTCTTGATACATCCGTTTGAAGTATGAATCAATAATACAACTGAGTCATCAAATTCGGGGATTTGTTTTGCATATAAATGGATATTTGCAAATATGGTTTTATTTATTGCTTATTTTATATTCTTTACTTATACCCAATCTGGCTTGGAAGAAAGTGCGATAATGGTTAATGGAAATGTAATTATGTATATTTATGTGCATCAATTCATTTTGTGGAGAGATTCATGTACACTAATTACTACATTTGTGTAAAACCTAGTCAACATTGTTATACTTTTTGAAGGATATTTTTATAATACATACCGGTCTGTTCACAAATTGTTAAAACATGTCAAAGCATGCTTTGAACAGTAAAATAATAAGTGTCAGGTAAATTGGGATCTACTGTAACGGAATAACGTTCCACTCACCCTATTGGAATAGTATCAATAATGTTGTTGCTAGATGTTTGAAATAAGTTAAAAGGAATCTTGCAATCTCGATTTCATTCTAATCGAAACCAGTCAGCAAGTGTATATCCTCACTTAAGGCAGAACCAAGATTTCCGTCCTACGGTAATTCAGTAACTATCCACATAGCTCTGTGGTATGTAACTCGCTGCAAACCACATCTCTGGAGGACATCGACCTACAGAACCGTAGATGGGTCTTGTTGATAAGTAGCATAAAAATCGAAATATAAATTTAGTTTTCTACCGTCTGATACTAAAGTGCAGTTTTCATTTATGTCATTTACTTGATCTTTCTAAAGCACATCTTAAAACATCACCAACAGCAAAATCTCGAAAATATGAAATCGGTTACTACTGAATGATCAATTAGTTTCATTGTGATAGTTTTACGGAAACATTACGACGTTTATGTAAATATAGTAATCGAAAGGCAAATATACCCCACTCGGTTGAAAATGTTTAATTAACAATAAGGCATTCAGATAGACAGTTTGTAGGAATTCATAAGTCCATGAAATTTTTGTTATTACCCACCTATCTTAGCTAGATGGAGAATCTCTGAAAACTATTTTGTTATAGTTCAATTTAAAAAATGAATTTACCAAACTAATATGAATTATTCGATAGTTTATTTAGCAGAGAAACTTCATAGCTGTGTGATATATCAAGAGAACTATAACATGAATTCACTATTGAAAAGTATTAATTCTCATTAGGGTTTTTACTTTTCTCATTATTTTGAATGAAAGTCTATGAATTCCAAGTTAAATCATTTATTATTTACAAACTACTCATTGATTTCTTAAAACCACTAAAGTAGTGTGTTCATTTCAAATTTGTTTGTCAATGATCCCTGAACTATATTATATGTATATTCATACTCCTTTCATAATAAGCTTCTATTTGACCTATTGACTACCATTATATGATTTACCATCCTTAACTTATTCCCAATCTATTAGTTACCGTCTCTCAAACTCTTGCATAATTATTATTTTCTATTTTATGGTATGACACAGTCTGATTTGGTTGTATATGAACTACGTATGCTTGAAATACATGATTCCTATAACAGAAGTTGTTATTGGTGTTCTGGAATGAACCGGTTGGGTTAGGCGACAAGCTACTATCTCACAGACCCAATAAGAACTCTGACTCTAGGCTGTTCGTACTGGTTTATGCGTCACTGATCTGATCAATACGTCGACGTTCTAATTCGCGATCGTATTACGTGATAATTAACAGACCATATGGACATAAAAATAATAGTTTTTGTCATGAACTAACATCAATTAGAAACTAGAGTGCATTGACCAACTAGCTTTGTCTTTATCAAGAACTTTTCAAATGCATACACTTATATCATTAGTTAAGATCTAATTCATAATATTGATATCTCAAAGATTAAGTGATTTGATAAAACAAAATACTTATAATAGTGTATTCATTTGCTATGAAATTTTAGTTTCTCATTTTCTTAAAAAATATTTCTCCATTACAAAATTATTCAACTCTGTTTCTATGATAAAATCTTGTTTTTTTCTTCGCCTTGTTGATGTTTTCCGTCTTAGGTGCAGTTAAATCTCAAACGTCAATAATTGTTTCTGCTGTTATTTTCTTCTTATCTGCAGTGCTAATTATTATAGCTTGCACATTCACATTCTTTTGGTTACAACGTTTAGTAAGTTTTGTTTCGTTTGAATTTTACTGTTTTTTTCAATATTCATTCTTATATATAGTAGTAAGACTAATATAAAATAGATAATGGCTATCAGTCAAATTAAGTGATTTCATTTCCTTTTATTTGGGACCAGTCAGATTGATAGGTATATATCCGTGTTGATACTCACATGAGAACTCGAACCCAGTACCTTTCTCCAGTGAGTCGCAAACAGAATGAAACAGTCATCCTAGATTCTGCTTTTGGCTAAAATCGATTTTTTTTATAACACTTGTGATGAAGTATCTAGATTTATATAATCCTCATACTATATATATATATATATATATATATATATATATATATATATATATATGCTATTCAAGACTGATCTAAGTTCAGTTCTTAATGTCAATAACATAATTCGGGCTGTGAATTAAACTAAATTATTGTCTCCTATTCAACGTGTCATTTATTCGGTGGATTTATTTTTGTAGTATAAAATCTTATGGTTTCAACCGATAACTGGTAAATTGTATTGAATTATTAAATAGAAATAGACCTAATAGTTAAATAAAATTATCCAAGTCTAAAACCAATTCACTTCTCTAATTGTGTATTTAAACATCTATAATTCAATAATATTAGTTTAAACAAACAGAATTGAACAATCAGCTGTTATCTTTCTACAAACAAGAAGTTTTTGTGTTTAATTTTGTGTAATTTCACAATCAGAATGATTAGTGTTATACTTATGATATAAGCTCTGTATAATGGTATTATTTCACTATATATTTATTTATAAAATCAACAAACTGAAGTAAAATTGTTTAGTACTTAATTATTCAAGTTTTCAATAGTTGAAATCATGAGTCGATTGAAGCTAGACCACCATGGAAAACCTGAGAGCACTGGATGGCCGCTTCATCTTAATATGGTGCTCCTCAGCACTGTGCATCCACAATCTTGCCCTTCGCGATATTCGAACTATTGAAATTACTAAGATCTCCCCAAAACCCCTTCTGATAATATTCAAGTTTTAATAAGTAATTTTTTTGTTATATCTTAATGAGTAGAAAAATTATATATCTGACGTTTCGTGATTTTATTGTAAGCCTCTTCCTCAGAGTAAATAAATAATCAACATTAAATTAACACAAGTTTATTTCGTTTATTTATTTACTCTGAAGAAGCGGCTTATATTAAGTCACGAAACGTCAGAAATGCAATTTTCCTGCTTATTTGGATATTGCAAAAAAATATATTCATTATTAACTCTCTATTCAATGTTTAATTTATTTGAAACTATCAAATCTAACACTGACATTGAAACCCATATTCAAGCTTTATTTCTCTATACTACTGATATACTTTCACTTGAAAACGAACATTATACGATAAAATATATTGGTTAAATCAACATATTTAATTTACAAATAAAAATAATAAACTATTTCATTCAGTTCATATGATACATATCACATTCGAATGAACGAAACAACTTGTTACATGAAGTATATCTAGTCATATAAAGTTTATTTTCAATGTGTAATAATGGGAAAGTAAATTTTTTTACTCAATATATGTTATGCGAATGGTAAATGTATATTGTAAAAGTAGTGTACATGGTCAACAACAACAGCAACAAATGAAACTAATTGGATTAGTTACATATCATAAATGTAACACTATTTACTTAATTTTAATCGAATGGAAAATTTTGTAAAACCAAAAAATTATGCATAATGGGTGTTTGCGTATGTGTTGTCATTTATTTTAAGTGAACCTACCTGTGAAATATTATAATTTAACCTATTCATTTTCACAATTCTACAATAGAATGTTACATATGTAACATGATATATGTACTGATTGATATAGTTATGAATTGTTTTGATAATTAGTGACTTATTTTAAGGGTGATATTTTTCTAGGTGTTTACTGAAGTTTGTCGGTAAATTCATTAAAGTATCAACAATTGATAGATGATTAATTCAAATGATTTTTACTCTACCAAGCTATTTTTCATACAAGGTGTCAAACATGTATCCACCCTAGTTTAGGAATAATTATCAATGTTTAGTAGTTGAGATGCAGTCACTAGGATACCCTACTCGACCTAAGTATCATGCTAGCTGATCATTATCACCTATATGTACCTAAAATCTTGAAGGAACTGATCCATTTTATAGGTCTATAACCTGCATCAATCATTGCCACCCTGAGACGCTACCATTAAACCATTCCCGTTGTGGTTGCTCTCCTGTGGGAAAGATATTTACAGTTGACGAGTCATTATGAACATGAAACCACTGCTGAATACCTCGAGCAACTTCAAATGTAAACATGATGCACGCATTGTCAATTCGCTTAGATTAGCGATCACGTTGCAATCTGTTCAACAGAATTCAATCAGTATTTAATGACCAGACAACCATGAAATTGGCTATTACTTAGTGAAGGTTAATTTTCCTGATAATCCAACAGTAATTTCACGTTTAACGATTTTAACTTAAATTCTACTCAGATCTGTACCCAATCCCTCCCTCTCTAAAAGAGACAGTGTGTTTTGTAAATGCTCCTCTATCTTGATTTGATTTTTCTCAACTTACGATGAAAACATAACTTCCATTACATGATAACATCATCGATGTGAAACACACGTAAGTTTAAAAAAAGACAAACATGGTGAAACCATAATTTATAGACGACTTTTGAACGACGCCAAATTGACCTTGAAAAAATTCACCAACCTACTAGGGTCTAAACAGGTTTATAAACAAGTATGAGAAATCAGAATCGAGATTTGGAGTTAGAATTTAGGGTTAGGAATTACAGTTAAGGTTTTCGTTACGAACTGACGCCAACTATAATACCAAATTGCTATTTAGCTAATATGAATAAATAACTTTCATGTCAAAATCCAAGATTTGTTATCTTTAATCTGATCGGTTAATCCATTAATCATAGTCTCTCCACAAACATTTTACTTTTGTCTACTCATTATAAATGTACGTAAAATAGTTTTATTTTACAAAATCGATAAATTGCTTATGGAAACTACATATATTAAAGGGCAATCACTTTAAATTCCAAAGATTTCCTTGCTAACTTTAATCTTATGTATGTAATCTTTTATTCATAATTATTATTTATAAAAGTTTGTATACATTGGTTACTTATCCAAAACATAATCAGCTTTTAACTACAAACAATATTGTAGCATTCAATCATCAAAAATTGATCACTACTCTAACTAAATATTTTTAATAAACAAAGTGTAATCTGTTACCAATAATCAGTATCATTATACTCGCCGAATAGGATGATTTCCATCGTAACACAATAGGCCTATTAGTTAACAACTTACTAGTACTTGAAGTTACAGTCGCAATTAAACCAATCATACTTGTTGATCAAAATGTACTCTAACTGACGAGTTTCAAATAGGTTAATATGTAAATTTTGGATTCTAGCATTAGATACTATAGTGAAGGAGAACACAGGTGAGGACAACCGATTATTTTTAGCACAAAATTACTGAGTTACTTGGCAAAATAGAAGAAAAAACATACTACATACTTCGTTTGCAAAATGTTTAGTAATTGTTTCAGACTTCAGTTTTTCCTGCATTTTCATACCAATTACTTTCTGTTCCCGTTTTTCTCTTCTCAATCTCCTGCTGCCAGACATTCTATTCCTGACTCGCGATATATACTACTTATATCGATATAAGTACCACGCACCACAATACTATTCAAAATATTTTGTACTTGATGTTGATTAATCAAAATCTAAAACTATATAAATATCAAAATATTGACTACGTTTTATCCTAATTGAATAAATGACAAAAATATTTCAAACTCTACTTTAAAGCATAGAATGTTTTTGTTGATTATTGAATATGAAAAAAAGATGAATAACACTACTAATGATTGATATTTTCCTAATAATTATTATCTAGATGTTCTCTTATAAAAGTTGGTTATTATGTTATAATTCATTAGAATTGTGGAATCTAATAATTAGGAAAAAATGTTGGTTTATTATATCGAAACAATAGCCCCTAAATGCCATGGTGCGGTCGAGGGTGGGGAAAGTCCGTTCCTCTCTCTCTAAATGTCCTCACATGGCCACGCGTATACGGCCATTGTCAGGAAAGTCCTTCTTATTGCCATCTCGCAGCGAGGGTGTTGGTTACGAAATTCAGAGGACGAAAAGCGAATGTCTGGCACTTTAACCATCTTGGTTGACATGGAGGATCGACCTAGGGGAGTTGGAAAAACCTGATTCCAAACCAATGGGTCACATGGGCTCCAGAATCCAGAAGGAACAAATGCCATATGAACCAGTTATTAGTCACCGGCTACTATGGGACTGCATCTTCTGACATTGATCTACTGCTTTATGGACCAGACCTTTAAGTCGAAGGCTCCGGCTGTGCCCCCCTCAAGAAAAGCACCTGCTTCGATTTGGGCACCCGAGCAGTATAAAAGTTCATACACAAATCGAGGGACTTGCGTGGCGTATTCAGTGACTCTTTGTATCAATATTTGTGTGTTCAAAACAATAAATTTATGATTTTCTAATTTCAAAAAAATTATTTTGACTGGAATTTCAATATATTTTTCATTATATCTAATTTTTCAAAATAAAAATAACGTAATACAACAAAATAATAATAAATTCATGTTTAGACAAACTATCTACCTTCAATAATTATTATCACTGTTATTCATAATAACTCTATTAAACTAAACAACCATGGATATCAAATTGAACAATGAACATTCAATGATCAGTAGTTACTGATATTGAGAAGGAAATTATTTTTCAGTATGTTTAAAACTCAGCAAAATTTAAACAACGAAATAATATTAAAAAGTGGGGTTTTGTGGAGATTGTAGTAATTTTTAATAGTTGAATTCGTCAGTGGTGGATGCGCACCTCTGAGTTGTCCCATATAGAATGAAACGACCGTCCAATTCTTCAAGGTTTTCCATGGTGGTCTAGCTTTG